CCTTTATTTAGACAGCTAAAACAAGCTACATTTCGTAAGCTATTTTTTAAATCTGAGAAAATCGTCAAAATTTATGCTCTTTATCTCTTATACCTCTTATTATTCAGATACCAGTTATTCGATATATCTCCTTTATGTAGGAGTCTAAACCCATTAAATTGTGTTACCGGTTTACATACCGATCACACAGCAGTGAAAATCACTTAGATTGGTGCTATATAAGGTATATCATCCATACCTCTGATTGTTTAGATATGGTTTTTCATATATGTATCTCCTCCATCTATGTATTCTGTAAATATATAATTTTTTTCCAATTCAGGAATCTATTATAGTAAAGTAGATGCTCATGAAAGGTATGAAGCCTTCGGCATAGCCGAAGACAGCGCTGCTCTTACTTGTTTTTTACTAAAGTTTAGTTAATTATATAATTCTACATACATATAACACACATTTCAAATTTTGTAGAGAAATCAAAAAATTTCACAACAAACTTTTTATTCATAATTTTTATAAAAATACCAAGTATGCAATTTTGTAGCGAATTAAATTCTAGTAATAGGGTTCGCGTTGATTTTTGATAATACATATTTTTTTGCCGACGGTGTTATTTTCTTCCATACAAAACAAATTTAAGAAAATGCGTGATACCGTCAGCAAACAAAAACTATCATAAACCTACGGTATTTTGTAGACACTGCAAAGCTAGAAAACTCGAGCAAAAATTGAGATATGCGGGTTTCCAGTAATCCAAGGTAGGTTGGTATTGAAAATGGGCGAAATCGGACTGTAACCACGCCCACTTCCCATATAACGGTAATTTCCAGAAATACGAAAACTGCGATATTTTAGTAACTACTGAAGATAATTCACTCAAAATTGATATTTACAATAATTTTTAGACGAAAAATAAGAATATTATAAATTTTTGGAAAATGGTCGTAGCCACGCCCACTTATGGTTACATGTGTATATCTTGGTAACCGCTGCACCAATTTCTTCCAAACTTGGCACAGTTGTTGGCCTTGGTACAGCATACTAAATGGCCGAAAATTAAAAAAAATCAGACAATAACCACGCCCACATCCCATATAACGGTAATTTAGAGAAATGCAAAATCTTCGATAAATCAGTAAATATTAAAGCTAATTTATTCAAAATTGATGCTTGCAACAATTCTTTACGTTTATAGTAAAATTTTGGAAAATGGGCGTGGCACCGCCCACTTATGATCACATATATGTATCTCGGTAACCGTTCTACCAATTTGTACCAAACTCGGTACGGTTATTGTGCTTGCTACATAAAAGCAAAACGTTGAAAATTATTGAAATCGGACTAAAATTACGGCCGCTTTTCATATAACGGTAAATTTCAGAAATGCTTGAAACTTCAATATTTCGAAATTTAAGGACGCTAATATACTCAAAATTGATACACCCCGGCTTACCATCTAGCGGTAGGTTTCGGAAAGGTGAAAAAACATATATTTAATACTTGCGCCGGGTATTTAATGTTCGGCTCCGCCCGAACTTAGACTTTCTTACTTGTTCAAAAAATACTGTACTCTAAAAAATATATATATTCTTTCAGGGACCGTAACGGTTATGCTTTTTTTTTTCAAAAAAGTCAAAAAATCGTTATTTTTTCACCAATATACATATATTTTCAGTCAAAAATAAAAGTTACAAATTGACTTTAATTTTTTTGGTCAAAAACAAAAGTTAACACTTGACTTTTATTTTTTCGGATATTTGACTGAAAAAATAAAAGTCAAGTTTTAACTTTTACTTCTCACTGAAAAAATATCATCAAAAAAAAAAAAGTTTAATTGCGGACTTTTTTGAAAAAAGTAAAAAAAAATTAAATCATGTAGGATTAACGTTCCTTGACTAACAAGCATCACATTGCTATATACAAATGTTAAAAAGACCAATTCTTTCCGACTGACTTTTTGAGTTGAAATTTTGAAAATAACTATTATTTTCGATCCCTCTATTTTTTTAATGGAAATATTGCGAAACGAAATTTTTTCGCAGTAATATACAGTTTTATCTCCGAAAAAAGATACGAGCGTTAATAATGAATGAAAAAAAATCAAACTTTAACATGGAAAATGTTACTCATACGCCAAGATCGAGTATGGCCGTGTACATGGCGTATGAGTAACATTTTTTCTTGCTTACATATTATTAGGGGACTCACAAGACGTGTTAAGCGTCGTAAAATCGTAAGCTTAACATTTTTTACGCTAAATAATGATTAAAATGCTTTTCGAGGATTTCTAACTACACCGAGATATTTTCAAACTCAGAGAAAATATATCATTAGCTCCCACTAAAACCATTTTAACCGTTATTTTACATACAACAAATTTACGCTTAACATTTTACGACGCTTAGCATGTCTTGTGAATCCCCTATATGTATTTTATACAAAAAATTATTCGCGCATTTGACCATTCACAATTTGTTTATTTATCCATTGGTTTTCATCGTCAATGGCTTAACTTTTTGGCAAAAGAACACACTTTAATACAAATGAAAAAAATTACAACAGATTTGTTATTTTCTTAAAGTTTTCCTTGTTAAGGTTTGAATGTTTTTACAAAAATGAAAATATCTTTGGGAAATTACCTAATCTGGATGCAGATCCACAGTCTACGACCCAATTAAGTTTACGTGTTTCGGCGTTTTTTGTATAATTTTAAAAACTTGAGATTTTCCCTACAGTGTTATTCATATTTTTTCTTTTTGGACCTAACCCGCAGACCAGTGTGTAATGGTGCAAGCAAACATTTTGCGTATGAAAAAATCGACTTGTCAAATAATCAACATGTAAAGGCATGTACAAATTTATTTTCCAAGATCTTGACCTCATTACCGTAAATACCGGTTTTCCATACAAAATTAAGCAAATTTAGGAAGTTTACGTGGTTACGAGGCATTTACACATTTACAGGCCTATTCTGCTTTGGTAACAAACATTTTGTTACCGGTAAATAAAGTTACTGTAAATTTTTAAACCCTTTTCGCATTCTCCACATTCTTGTAACCGGTAAATTTTGGTTACTATCTCATGAGCAGGTAACAAAATATTGCCCCGTGAAATATGCAACACCAGAATTTTCAACTTCATAGCTGAATTTGCTGAATAAATTAAAACGTTACCAAGGTAAATAGAATTACGGTTGCAAGTGGTGATTGTTGGTAAAAAAATTAGCTTGCTACAAAATCGTCGGTTACAATCAGAATAGGTCTGTATGAATTTCCATATTGTTTTCATGATCAGTTTATCAGTTCGTGGAATTTATTTATTTTTTTGTATTTTACCGCATATCTTTGGACTACGTTAACCGATTTCGATAATTCTACTAATACTAATACTAAATTTTAGATTTAGATCTGGTCATTGGATCATGAAGAAATTAACCGTAATCCTAAATTTATATATGAGAATTGAAGTCGGTTTTGTTTTTTGCTTAAAAATTACTTGTTATGAAAATATTTGTACATACATAGTTCATTCTATAACATGAATCTGCATAAACCAGATAAATCAATATTTCACACTTTATATAAAATTCGCGAAAATTCAATAAATTTGCCATTAAATTTTCAAACTTTTTAATAAGAATGTTTAGAAACTTTTCGGGTATGCAGTTTTATAGCCCATTCAATTGCAAGTATCTAAAATTTTCCGTTGATTTTTGATAATTTTTTTCTGCAACTGCAATGAGCAATGCTTTCAACGAAAAAATTGTCAAAAATCAAAGAAGAAGAAGAGATAGACCCATAAAAAGATATTCCAATAGGCTCAGAAGGAGGAGCTGAGTCGATTTAGGCACGTCCCGCTGATATTTTTAGTAATGATGTCATAAACTCCCACCCTGAGGCTGCTAAGAAGATGAAATGTTGATTTATTTTCACATTCATGAATAGAAAGCGTACACTTAAAGTAGTTAAGATCGTGTTATTATAACTTATAACTGATTGTTCAGATATGATGTTTTGCTTTGAAAATCCTTTATTTAGACACTCAAACCGTGAAATTGTGTGAGCTACATATTTACTTATCAGCCATACAAGGTCTACTGACAAAATCATCAAGTGCGGGGCTCCATAAAATCACTGATTGAATACTTTAAAATTTAATATATTTATGCTAAAAATGTAATAAGTATTCGATTAAAGTTACAATTTATGAAACGTATCACATAGCCAAAGGCAGCACTTAAGGTTCAGTTAGTCCAGACTTAACTTAATTTACGTAAGAATTCGTCAATGATTACTCAACGTCAACTTAGCCAGAAGCGAAAATATTTTGTTTTTGTATTTTCCTTTTCAGCTGAGTTTCACTTTACCGTCTATAAATAAACCTGAGCGCAAAAATATATTGCGTTGGCCAATATATTAGGTTGCGTTACGTAGATTAAGTCTAGACTAACTGAGCCTTTACCTGTTTTCTTATGTAATTTGACTCTTAAATGAAGTTGAAATTTGGTGCAAGATTTTTAACAAAATTGCTTATATCTATTATTATTAAAAAGCATACGCCTTGTTTTGTGTGTATCCGCTCCAATTAACTTCCCTTTTGTTACTAAATCGGTGTATCAATAATATGTACATATGTAAATAATAGAACTACGTAACTACATACATATCTATGAATAAAATATTATGTTTGTATGTGAACGCGAATTTTCGAACACCCTAATACCAAGCTAGTGAGATCGAAAGTCTTAAGAAAGAACTTAACGTAGACAATTCAATCAAAAATTAAATTCAATGAAAATCTTAAACTTAGCACTATTCGATATTATTTGCAAATTTGTTTCACATGTACGTAGATATCATACACAAACCCATACATAATTATATATGTAGATGCTTGTCTAATAAATACTAATATTGTATTTTAAAGGAAACAACTTTGATTTAACATTTCACTAATTTTGTTTCATTGTCCAACGCTTTGATGTTGATACATATGTAATTAACTTGAAAATTCTAATATGATTGCAATGTTTCACATATATGTAGACCAAGATAAAATACCTCTGGCCATGATTCAGACAATGCGTAAGCTCAAGTCCGGCTATATTAATGGCACGCGTGTAATGTTGGGTAATCTCAAAGATTTCCTGAATACGTCAGCTATCACAGACCTCAGTTTTTTGGGCAGCACCGAAGATGGCTACCCCGATCGCCTACATCCCGATGTCCAGGCCTATTTGGACGAACATTTGTTGCGCTCATTCAGTCATCGTGGTATGATGAAGCTACACGGAGGCCACCTACGACCGCGCCAGTTACGTAGGCGCATGTCTTGCAAGGGTGCCATTAAAAAGACGCGTTCGATAAATGTCGATTGTAAGTATTAAGTGGCTAGATTTGCAAATACATATCGTTACCTTAAGGCCCTAACTCATTTTCGTTTTCGAACTCAGCTTTGTAAAAAAAAACTATAAATGAATCACTTAAAACCTGGGGCGGTAATCATTATGAGTAAAGTAATTTAAATCGGCATTTAATCATTATTTTATGATTTTTATTTTTTCGCCTAAAAATATTAATTATTATTATTGAGCAGAGAACGAAAATAACCGCGTGCGTTCAGAAATGCATCAAGCCAAAGCCGGAGCGAAAAAATAAAAGTCCTAAAATAATCATTATTTTTGTTAAAAAATAAAGATATCAGTAAGAATAATTTCCTTTGAGCGAAAAAATATAACTCAAACATTAATTATTATTTTTAACCGACTGCAAAAACGGAGACCGTTATCAATTTGTCAGAATATATATATTTTTTCTTTATGTATGGTGGCCCCTTACTAATTTGGTTTAGATCTGATAATTGGATCATGAAGAAATTAACGGTAATCTAAAATTTTTGTATGAGAATTAAAGTCGGTTTTGTTTTTTGCTTAAAAATTGCTTGTTAATGTTTATTTGTTAAACTCGAAAAAATAAAAATCATAGAAAATTGGCAGTAGGACGTACGGACACAACTACGTGAGTACAGTTAAAAACGTTTTACAACGATTACAACTTGTTAATTTTTTTTTTGGTTAAAATTTAAGAAATTATGATTATTTTCCATCTCTGCTTGAAACTTTATATATAATTTGAAGATAATTACACCAACATTAAATTTGTTAGATTGCTCTAAAAAACTGCGTTTTAAAGACATTCACAACTAAAGAACTTAAGTTTTGCCTTAGTTTTTTATTCGCTCTTTAAAAACGAAAACTTTAATTAGGGCCTTTCTATATTAAGATAACGTTATGTATAGCTAATCCACACACATAATAACTATCATTTGATACGTGTATGCATGTGCGTATGTATGTATATTTTAATAGCTGACAACCTGGGTATGGAAGGGCCAACACCATTAATAGAAAGGCGACTTTCTTCGGTGGTGCCACCGCCATGGCTGCAATCAAATAAAGCAAACAATATCAGTGTATTTGACACAACACCGGAGGAAGGGCCTCCTAATTTGATAATAGATCCGCTGATTCGCGAAAATATCTATCCCATTGACCCACATCATAATCGCTCGGCTATTGAACGTCGCAGTGAGTTTACAAGACAGCAAGAAAGTTAGTAGTGTGTTTAGTTCGATTAGTTGCAGAAAACTGTGAAGAAAGCAATAACTGTAAATTAGTCCAATTGTAATCGAAATGGAAAATGAGACTGGAGTATTGGAGGTTTAATAAAAAGTTATTGCTTCTTCGGAGTTGATAGATATTTAGTCAAATGTGTAATAATTTTATAAATTTTCGATTTGATTTTTAATTTCTTAATTTGTTGTTTACTATTGATTTATTATTGCGCTTTTGCGTTATGATTTGCCGTTTTAATCCTGGTACATTCATCAGTACAAGCTATACCGAAAATTCTCGTTCAACGCCATCGCACGGATACAAATTTCGCTGATACAGAAGTGGAGGAACTGATAGCAATGCTGCGTGAGACGGAAAATCTCGAAGAACAAGGCGACATTTTGCAATACTTGGTCGACACCCAAGGTTTGGACTTCAATACGGGTAAGTTGAAGATACTACTATTGAATTGTAAAAAAAGGCACTAATTGCAAACTATGGAAATGGGTCTCGTCCACGTGCACAGCATACATACACACACACATACAGATGAATACATACATACATACATATTATATATCTTTGCAAACTAAATACAAAAGGATCACAACTCAAAATTTTTCAATATATACTACATACATTTAAGCTACGTATGTATATATGTATGTATGACCTAAATGGCTATTCTTCGAAGTAAAACTAAAGTTTCATGTAATACTATCATAATCTCTTCTGTCCAAGCAGTGTTTTTGATCTCCTGAAACTCGTATGATTTTAGAGTTGTGACTTTTGAATTTAGTGTGCGATATGCATATACATACGTAAGTTGGTATACATACATACATATGCACAGTATTTGTAAATACACATAAAATATGGGTGATGGAAAAAAATTTTACGCGAAAAGACATAAAGTTGAAATTGGAATAACTAAAAGAACACACTAAATACACTTTAAATAATCTTATGTACCATGTAAATAATTTCATTCATCGTTATCACAGAACTGTCTTACAGTCTATTCCACTTCAATTTTTTAATTCGGTAATTGCTTAGTTTTAACATACACTCACTCACTGTAAATCTGTGCTTGTAAATTTATTTATACAATATGTATTAATTCGAGTTTCTTCCATTTTTTTTTTTTTTTTCAAAATACTTTTTAATAAATAGCTGGCTTAGGTTTGAAGAATAAGGATTCCGGTAAGTCATAACTATACTTTTTTATAATAAATAATACTAGAACACAGCCATTCCTTATTCCGGCACCTTCCAAAAGCACATTGTAAATTAGATACTCGTATATACATATACATACATATGTATGTATGTATTAAATTTCAATTTCCAAATTATATATCCATACAGACATTATTTTTCCTGCTCTTATAAAATGGCTTAACTAATTATTATAATATATCGTTCGCCTCATGTCAGAAACATGAAAGTGTAAAAATTAAAATTTTGGGAAATCAAGCTGTCGAGCCCTAACCGCCAAATTAACGTAAGCGACATTTTTTTCCAAATTTCCTTTTTGATGCAGAAATGCATCTAGATTCTCTAGGAATATTTCTGCATCAAAAAGAAGATTTTGAAAAAAATGGCGCTTACGTTATTTTGGCGGTTAGGGCTCGATATATACATGGTATTCTGAGTTTTGCTATACATAGAACATCCGAAGGATAATCAAGACAACCCAATAACTCGAAATTGGTAAATTTGCACATTCATGCTTCTGGCATAAGGGGGACCATATGTATGTATGTATGATTCAATAATAAAAGGTTTGCTCAGAAAACAGCTTTCTCGCTGCCTCTTGATAAAATCGGCTCCCTTAGCAAGGCACTACGTGTGGGTGTGTGTGTGTGTGTGCAACCTTTTGTAAGGAAGTGTCAAAACTCGAATGTCAGTAGTGAGCAAACCTTTAATAACACTGAAGGGATGCTAAAATGACAGAAGAAAACGCCGAAACACGTAAAATTAATTTTGGCTCGTAGATTACGGCCCTGTATATGGTTTTATAGATCAGATCATTTTCGCAAAATATTTTCATTTTAAATTTGCAAAAACATCAAGCTATCAACGAAGAAAATTTATGATTTCATTATTAGATTATATATACTTGGCGTATGAGTAACATTCCTTCCTACATAGTAGTCTCCGACCGAAGTTGGAATTTTGGCCGAAGCCGAAGCCGAATATTAAAATTAAGTTTCAAAAATAAATAATAGGTATGATGTTAGCAGGTCATTAGCAAGCATTATTGCATGCAACTCTAAGAGAAATATAGCTAAAAATTGCCGTTGACTTTTTAGAACGTTTTTTTTTTGCGGAGGGTGTTGCGAATTTTCTTCCATATAATGAATAAAACTGACTTTTATATGGAAGAAAATGAGCAACACCCTCCACATAAAAAAATAAAAAAAAACCAATTGTAATTTTTAGCGACGTGAAACTTGCACTTTATTGTATTGAAATTGAATGAATGGGCTATAAAACCGCATGCTCGAAATCTTTCTAAGAAAACTAATTAAAAACATCGAACTTTTCATGACAATTTTTTTTAAGTTTAATTTTTTGTGAACTTTTTGCAAGCTTTGAAACTTTTATTTATGTGGTGTCTGATATAGATCGACCCATATTTTAAATGAAAATTATTAACAATAAATAAAGATATGTTGCCAACAGCATAATTTTGAATTTTGCTGCTATTATTTTGACCGCAACTGTATCTCTTACTTTGTTTTTATGGTTTTGTCAATTATATGTATAATTTAAAAAGTGTTGCCATGAAATAAACGAAATTTATCATAAGCTTATAACTATTCTGAGCATTACTTCATATGCTAAATTGCACGACTCGACAACATTGGCATTGTCTACTGTCGTGCTGAAATAAGTAAACGACGAAAATCGTCGAAAATATGCAGTGCTGCCAAGTTTTTCCGTATTAATACACTAGTCGAGTGGAAATTTTAGGCAATGACGTGACAGTTTCGATACGATTCGACTCTGGAAAAACGACTTGCATTGGGCACGACTCTCGCAATGAGACTGAAAATTTTAGTTATATACGCCCACTCATCCGCAGTCAGTATATTTTATAGAACAATTCTCAACAGCAACCATATTAATCGCTGGTTTTTGTTCTAAGAGCCTTTCCATGATGAACATGAAGGAACTATTCCATCCAGTTGGAAGATATTGTATAAATTTATGTGTTGGTAAATGTAATAATTCCTGATAGGATTTTAAATATCTGCTGGCCGATTCACTTCTATGAAAATGGCACACTATTTTACGACATTTCTGTAATAATTCTAGAGATGAGAAACAACAACAGAATTTTAACAACTCATGAAATTACGTAACTTCACGACAAATACAACCCCTTGTGAATTGCGTTATTGTTCGGCATTTTCGGCCGAATAAGCCGAATACCGAAGCCAGGCCGAACCTTCGGTCGGACACTACTACATAGTCATATTTCATAAAAAAGAAATAATCTTTTATTTTTAAATTTTTTCCCTGTGAAGTATGCATTTTTTCATTCACAATGCAAACTTAAAACGAACATATTTTACGAAAATGAGCAGATCTAGCAAAACGATATACAGTTCCGTAATCTACGACCCAAAATTAAGTTCACGTGTTTCGGGGTTTTTTGTGTAATTTAAAAACTTGAAATTTTCCTTAAGGCTGATTTTCACTATGTCAAATTCAGTGGCATTTGTCGTCAAATAAGTGAAAACACATTGTCAAATTGGATTAAAAAGCAGTTTATCGATTGGTTTGGGTCAGGGTAGGTCTTTATTCGTGTACATGCGCTGCTAAATTGGCTATCTGTCTGTTTTTGGCCCATAATATCATCGGTAAAGGTATGGATAAAGAAAGGAGATAAAGTTGTGTCAAAATATGTCGCCAAATTTTGGCGTCAAAATATGACATAGTGAAAACCAGTCTTTACAGTGTTATTGAATCATGGACGATATGTAAACATAACTTTTCTAATATTTGGGATAGACAAGCTCAAAGAATCAAAGATGATTTTCCGCTTTCATACATATGTACACTGGCGATCAAAACCGAGTGCATGTACGACCTTTTATTACTTACAGTAACATAACTTGTTTAAAACTAAGCGGATTGCTTTGAAATTTTTAGAAATTGGTCCTTATTATCTAAGGAATAAATCCTAGTATACAGCAAAAACTAAACTTACAAATTTTTAAAAATTAATTTTTATTGAGCTTGAGGCCGTTTTTTAATGAAAACTTATTGTCGAAAAGCAACAATAATTTGAAAAAATTGTAGAAGTGATAGCTATTTCGGAAATCACCACATTTCCTCATCAGACTTCTTTCAGTAGGATTCGAACCGACGACCCCACTGACTCAGCCAGTTGCTTACGCACTGTGCTACGCAAGGCAACTCTATTCACTCAGTTTTGAACTTTTCTGTTTTCAGATCTTAGGAGGTTGATATCGAGAGGATTGTGGAGACTCCCTTGTTTATGAAAGCGATATTCATACGTCTGGGAATGCTCTCTACTGAGTTTTCTATGATTTCTCATGGAATATTACCCCATTATAATCTTACTCGCCTCCAAAGCTCTTCCATGTTACTAGGTGCTCGCTTGTGCTATGTTAATCCGTTCTCGACCACAGCGCTCAATTTTTCGATGACGTTGAGGTCTGGGATTTGTGCTGGCCACTTACGTGAAAATTTTGATCAAAGTCGTGGCTGCCAGCCGAATAGGATCTGAATATTGTTTTTTTTTTTTAAGCACCCCGTTTTTTATAAGCCATTGAATAACAGATAGTTACGTAATTCTTATTTTATTAAAGGTCAGACCTATAGTTTTTTAATTATTTGAGCATTGGTTCTCTTTATAGCTAGTTGTTGATTATTTCTACTGGAAATCCCTATTGAAGGAGCTTACTCATTGACTTTAAATAGCAAAGAAGGGACAGTTTTACCACAGAAGTTTTTAGCCAAGGTTCCAATGTATATTCCTATGCAAAAAATATTATCCAACAAGTAAACAAAACTACTGTTTTTAAAATTTTAGCTAAAAATAAATTCCCCAAAGAGCCCCATTTGAAACTATTCGAACGAATATATATAATAGGTGGCATACGCGGTACGTCTGACTCGCGAGTCATTTGTGCACGTGTTGACTCACGTTCGACTACACACAGTTGAATCATTCAGAGTCATGCCGGGAGTCATGTTGGTGTAACTAACACATATTTATTTTCACAAACACATCCAAACCGACTCACGAGTCAGACGCACCGTGTATGCCGCCCATAACATCAAAAGCAAATCACGAAAATTTTGTTAAGAATTACAGTGCACACTTTCTTCTTTTGTGTCTAGTAGTTTTTTTTTTAAGATTGGTCCAAAAAAATCATAATAAAGAAAGAAGCCAAAGCAGGTAT